TCTAAGTATCAATCTGTAGCCATGGTAGCAGCCGGGACAATGAAATCAGGCTGACTGGAAAACAGACACAAGTGACGAACTGGAACTTGGGACTGACGCAGAGAACAAACAAGCTTTCAGCATCTTAAGACCCTACTCAACAGGCATGCTTTAAGATACATGTGATAAGTTCTGTCTAGTGAACTATGAAAATGGAACTGATTGAATTTTACACACAGCACCCTCCACTCACACAGTACTGTCAAACTATGTTCCATTACCAGGCAGTTAAAAACTGAAGTATTTGTTCTGGTTCACTAGAGGCAGTAATATAGAGACCCCCAGTTTGGGGTCCTAATGTTGTATTTGAGAAATCTGCTGCACTGTGTCACCTGAAACACAGAGGAGTAAAATGCCAACTTTGATATAATTCTGGCAATCGCAAACTTGCCTGTGACCAATGACAGTATAACTGCAAATTACCAAGTCACCAGAGCATCAATGTGAACGCCATATACCACTTAGACTTACTAGAAATAACTGAATTTGCATTTTAAGTCAAGGGAGCAACCTACACACAGTCTAAATAAATGGCTTCCATGGTCCTTAAGGGTCAGTTTCTAGCATCAACAGTTAAGGTGTAAGTTTACGATGATAGGCTTCAAGTTCTCCTGTAGTGACCTTGACAGCTGTTGATCTTATGATTAAAATGTTTTAAAACTTCCAAATAGCTAAATACAGAAGTGAAAATGAATAAAAAACAAATTGACCATACATCTTTAGAATAGCCAGCAAATACATATATATTTTTAAGACAGGATCTCATGTGCAGCTTTGGCTGGTTTAGAGCTCTCTATATAGACCAGGCTGGACTCAAATTTCTGCCTGCCACTGCCTCCCAAGTACAGGGATCAAAGGCTTATGCCACCTCACCAGGCAATGGCAAATATTTTCAAACATGTACTTTTAAGATCGAATAATCATGAACATGTATATTTGTTGTGGAATAATCTTTTGGTACACTGTGAAGATGTGTCTTTGCCAAAGCACCCTCTGATTGGTTGAATAAAGAGCTGAATGGTGAATAGCTAGGTAGGGAAAGAGGTTAGGTGGGACTTCTGGAGACAGAACTCTGGGAATAAGAAAGGCAGCGTCACCAGCAGTGGCAGAGGGAACAGACATGCAGGAGGAGAGATAAAAGCCAGGACTCACGTGGCAACACATAGATGAACAGAAATGGATTAAGTTATAAGAGTTAAGGGGGCAAGCCTAAGCTATAGGCCGAGGTTTCATAATTAATAAGTCTCTGTGTCATTTTTTGTGAGCTGGTGGCCCAAAGAAAAATCCATTGACATGTCTTTTTTTAATGAGTATCTTAGTTAAAAACCCATCTGAGGTTTTTCTGAAGACAGAAGTAGCCCTGCTATCTTTTTATACTATGCCTCAATGTGGCCAAAGGCTAGAGAGAATACCCTATAGCTGCACTCTGAACAGAGAAAACCACAAGTCCCAGAAAGCTGCTGCATGACTGCTGAGATTTCCAAGTGTCCAACACTGACATGTAAACCTGACGAAGTAACTGTCACTGATAACGTGAAAAGCTATCGATTAGGAACCTAAAGCATTCCATCTTTTTTCATACCCCGGCTGTGTTCAAAAAACTAAGCACAGCAGCAGCAGCTACTGCCGGCCATTGACAGAGAAAGAGTCACTTCCCTTCCCCGCCTTCCTCCGGAGGCTTTGGGAGGCTCTGCCCGACACCCACACACAACCGCATACAACGACACAGAAAAGCAGCCACGGCATGAGCTGTGGTGAGGAGTTCAAAGCGCTGTTCAAAGACTGTGCTGTGGAGTTTGCTGGAAAGAGAACAGAATGACTACAAGAGCATGGCCTGAGTGGACCTGCTTCCCAGAGATGCACGCTGAAGGGCCTTCCTACTGGCTGAGGCCAGTGAACAGAGGTTTCCTCATCTGCAAAGCCTTTCTGCCCAATCCCTGTGCAAGGTTTATGGAACAAATGTTTTCAGGTGAGATGTAAAGCAGCAATTCCATGAGAAACTAAGATGCCAGAAGCCTCCACATCAAGCAACGCACAAGCACCACTACCACCAGTTTAAGTCTCAAACCAAGGCTCAACGAGATGTCAGTCAGTCAGCTGTCTGTTACCAGGGGGATGAAGGCTAGATGCTCAGATGCCTCCTTACCTTAACTAGTCAACAACCAAAGCAGCTGAGGTACAACTTCCTTTCTCACCGACTCACTACAACAGACTTGCAACTAAACTACAGCAACGTACACGTGAGTCATTCCAAACTACTAAAATCTAACTCAAACGCAAAACCTGGGGGGGGAGGGGCAGCATAAAGGTACTCTGCAGCATTGGAGTTTGGATCATTGCTGCACACTGATTTCAGTGTCTGACATCCAGTACTCATTGAAATGAACATGCTGTGCCTAACTAAGCTGAGGATACCACAAATAAATCCAAATGGCCAGTGAGAAAGGCAAGCTACATTCCATGATGACCAAAACCCTAATCTTGGGTTGTTACCACAAAAGATTACCTAAAAATAAAAGAGAACAACACCAATTTGTAAACAGTCAAAGCTCCAGGCATGGGGGCACAGGCCTTTGATTCCAACAGAAAGAAGTCGGGGCATTCAATCTCTGTGAATTTGAGGCCAGCCTGGTCTACATAGCAACTTCCAGACCAGTCACAGCTACATAATGAGATCCTGTCTCAAAATAAAAAGCATAAAATAGTCAAAACCTCCAGTTACCAGTAAAGACATACTAAATTCACCCTTAAATAGCAATGACTTAAAAAAATACTTTTCTTTTGTGAAAATTCTATCCCCAAATCTGAAATCTGAAACCATAATTAAAAATTTCTGTAAGTTTGTTCATCCGGGTATCTCCGGAGCATCTGCGCTGTTATGGGGCACTTCAGGTATTGCATGAGGTATCCTACGACTCAGGCTCTAGGGATCACAGGTAACACGATCATGGGAGGTATCACGGGAACAGGAGTGCTTGACTGCTGGACACAGTGCAAGACTGAATCTGCGTGGAGCTGTGCCAGCCCGTGGTGAGGCTGTGCCAATCGGAGTCTGCTCTCCCTTCCCGAAGGGAGAGCATCTACCCTGAAACTCTGATGTGGGAAAGAAAGGAGGGGCTGTCAACAGAAGCGAGAGAAGCCACTCAGGAACATCAAAGAAGAGGCTGGACCCCAAACCAACTGACCAGCAAGTCACTTACGAACATGGGCACACCAGTCAGACGTTCACAAAAGCTTCAGGAAAACAACCTAAGATGCTGGACAAGTTCACCCCGGCTCTTTATGCCGACAGCGATTACAGAGCTGAGAGATGCATCCAAGGGGCACAAACATAAACAAACGAGTAAATAAATAAGATAAAAACCCAAGAAACACCCAACACGAGTGAGGATTTTCTACCTACCAGCTTAGTGGCTGTGGAACTTCAACTTTCTGTCCATCTACCTCCAGGTCCTCCAACTCCTTAAAATACTTGTTCTTCAAGCAATGGAGAATCTCTTTTGCGTGGCTATGAAAAAAATAAGCAATTTTCACAGTGACCTAAAAAGCTGAGTTGGTAAAAATTTAATAACCTTAAGACTAAAAATATTTTTAAAACTAAAGCCAACTCTGAAATGTTCCTTAATCATCCAGGGGTGTGCGGCCTTCTCACAGTCCGGCCCTGCTAATTTTTAAGAATTCAACTTGCAAAGCATCAGTGCCCAATGACTGAAACCAAAAACCCTTCTAGTTTACTGTGCTGCATTGGCGAATGCGATACTGCACTTCTGCCCGGCTTCATTTCTATGTGCAACCACACCTTGGGGATGATGTACAACGATGGGCGGGCGGGGAGAGGAGAGGCAGAGGAGATACCACAAACCTCCCGTGTTCCTCAGGTGGACCCATCCGTTCACCCACCCCCAAGGAACCAAGTCTTTCTCGGGTTGCGTTTTCTACGCATAGTCTGATCCTTCCACCTGCCACGCGGAAGCAACCCAGGCTGCCCCCCCTGCGCCCTACCACCCTCCCCAGAGCCTCCAAGCCCACATGCCCAGGGAAGGCACGTCAGTGTCTTACCTTTTGTAACCCGTGATTCTCAGCGTGGCCGGGAGGGGCTCCCGGAGTGAGCCCATGAACTGGTCCCACTCTCCCTCGGGCACGATCTTGAGCTCCTGATAGTAGTGCTCGAAGAGCTTGTTCTCCTTGATGATCTCGGGGTAGCCACCTTCCCAGTCCTGACAGGAAAGCGAGGGGTGAGCGAACCACGTCCTCCCCCCCACGCCCGCTAACCCGGCCCACGAGCAAGCCTCCACGCCCGAGCCCACGGGGCGCCCCTCTGTCCCCCCCGCGCCTACCGCCTGGCCGCGCTTCCTGCCGCCCTCGGCGCCGTCCTCCGCGCCTTCGGGCTGCGCCTGCAGCCGCCGGCCCCTCGCCCGCCGCCCCATGGCCCACGCGGCTGCACACGCGGAGCGCACACCACGGCGACCCGCTACAGCCAGCTCGCACGCTGTACTTCCGGTTGCTCCCCGAGGACCCCGCGGCCGGGTCCTCGCCGGGGCAGTCAAGAAATATGCCTCGGAGGACGCCACACTCCGAAACGCACGAGACGGAAGGGTGATCGCCCGACAGGGAGCATGTTTCCCCACAGAAACCCCCAACGCCGCTGAGCATGCATCACCCCCGTCGCCCACGAAGGCTCAGGCACCTGCGTGGACGACCTGAGCACGTCGCGTGCGCAGAGAGGCGAGCCGCGCCGCCGCTGTCAAAAAGGAGGCGATACCGTGGAGGGGCGTGGCTCGGTGGCAGAGCTGGGCGGGGCCATAGCTGGGTAGGCGGGACTCTGTGGGACTCCGAGGGCGGAGCTCCGGCTGCAGGAGAGCAGGGGCGGGTCACTGAGTGCTCGGCTCTTGCTCTTCCTTCTCCTCGCGGGGCCGAGTGCCAAAGGAGCTCTAGGCCAATGTGAGCCAGATCGCGGGTGGGAAGGGGCGGGGCTCTCTGTGTAGGCGGGGCTCTGCGCAATGCGGCTCTCCCTCCGAACCACTGCGGGAGGGTATGGTCTGATGGTGCTAGCTTGTGGCCCAGTCCCAGCCCACACAGGTGGCTCGCCCCTCCCCTGGGCAGGTACGCACTGCTGGGGCGCCGGCTCGTGTGGGCTGCTCTGCGCCCTCCTCCCGGGCTTATATGTGGCCTCACTTGGAAACCCGGGCATGGAGCACGCAGCTCGACCTCAACTATGGGCTGGGACGAGTTGCGCCTGCTGGACGCTCTCACTTACCTAGAGGGTTTCATGGCCTTTGTGATCTTTGCGACTCTCAGTTGGATAGGCTCTCCCTACGGCCGCTACTCGTCGCAGTTTCCCGGCCTCCAAGTGCCGGCGCGACCCGCCTGGTTCCTGCAGGAGCTGCCCTCGATGGCTTGGCCGCTCTATGAGTGCGCCCGCCCTGCAGCCGCGCGCCTGGGCATCCTCCCTAACCGGGTCCTGCTGGCCATGTTTCTGATCCACTACGTGCAAAGGTAAAATGGTCTTCCCTCCTGAGCTCGCTCCTCCCCACGCGAGGTGTCTCCCGAGAACCTGAGGCTCAGAGATTTCATTCCGAAATACATAGGATTGTCTCGAAGGGGAGATAGAAAGGAACGCATGAAGTGGAAGTGCGAGCCTGGTCAGGGTTAGTGGTACAATGGTCCCGATTTCTTCTCTGGCTGTCTGCGGACTGTCAGCGACGTCACCCTAGCAGGGTGATGTTACTGTGTTTCTCTGTTTCCCCTTGGGGAATCTTTATTCCTGGTACAGCCTCTCTCATAGCTGGATGACCCAGCTCCAGCTTGCGAACAGCTTAGTAGTCTCTTGGAACCACTCTGGACCCAAATGCGGACTTGGGCAGTTTCAGAGATGTGTTGCCTTCTTTGTTTGAGAGGGGCTGGCTTTCCAGGCACAAACTCAGTTGGCTTATGAATCTTTCCTGGGAGAAGTTATATGGACCGTGTTTTAGTGACTGCCTCAAGTCTTAAGGTTTTCTAATAAATTGGACTGAACTGTCTCTAATGCTCGCCCCTAACTGACTCAACATTTGTAAGTCAACATTTAAATGTTTTCATCTAGATTCTGAAAACTGCACAATGAAGGGAATGCCTCTGTATCTACAGGAGTTGAGTTCTGTGATGTTTGCAAGTCTCTCGTCCTCTGATTTTTGGGGACTCACCCTGAAGTACCCATTTCCTGGAGAGGCTGAGAATTCAGTGTTGTGTTGGTAGCCTGTTCTTTCCTCTATTCCAGTAAGGAGATAGAATGGCTTCCTCACTACTACGAGTCCCTGGTATCCAGCATGGTTGGTATAGGAGTTGGTTTCTATACCAGCCCCTCTCACCATCTTGGACATAGTGTGCTTCTAGTCACCTTTAGTGCCGGCGTTTTATATGGGGGCACAATCAACATATAACAAAGACTGAATTCTGTGTGCCTCGAACTGTTGATAGAGTATTCCAGAAGCTGAGGAGATGACTCTGTGGGTAGCTGTGCGAGCCCAGGGACCAGAGTGTGCATCCCACACAAACTACTGCAATACCAGTGCCCCTGTGGGGAGATGGACGGAAGAGATAAGAGACAGGGGCTGGCTAGACTGGTATACACAGCAGTGAACCACGCAGAAGGCAAAGACAAGCAGCTGAGATTGCTACCAAAGTTGTTATCAAAACACTTAATCTATTTTTAGGAATGGGTGGGGAGTTCCTGCAGTTTAAATACCTACTGAACTCTTGTCCTTGGAAGTGCCTTCATAAAAACACCAAAATTTGTGTCTGTGTGTATCACCGATGGATAAAAGTCGGTTCTGGGAGGCAAACTGTTAGAGGTATGTTCATCTAAATAACAAATCCTGGAGATTCCCTTTGGACGGAGAATGTAGCTCAGTGGCAGGACCTTTGTTTAAGATCTGCAAAGAGGCTCTGAGTTAGGGGAAAGAGGACTAGCCCGGAGAAGAAGGGAAAGAGGCTTACAGACCATTGGAATGAGAATGTATGTGCTGTACTACATTGTACAACCAAAAAGATTTTCAGAAGCAGTCTCGGGATTACATACAGGGTTTTGAAACTAATACTTGGCTTAAAGAGTTATAACTGGGGAGGGGGGTCAACAGTCTAAGGTTAAACAGACATCCTTGCAGAAGTTATTTTTGGTGTGAGGTTGTGGTGACCATTGCCCAAGGTTGTAGTGCTGGCAGAGTCTTTTGTGATAGATAAGTCTTATCAAGAACACATTCATGAAAGCCCCTCCCCAATTACTTCTTGTCTTCCTTATCTGTGGTCATTAGTACTTGACAAGGAGGATGCTATTTGCACAGCTGTCACCTTTTCCCCCTTGATGAAATACTGTCCCAGAAGGACTGGGGTTTGATGTGATCTGGTCCTATGAACAAGTGATTGGTACCTAGAGATCAGTGTTCACAGTGCCCACATGTGTCCGGCACAGGTTGTTTTAATAACATTCATTCTTCACAGACCTGCCACCTGCTCAGCCCCTTTGCAACCTGCTTCATCTTTAGTTTTACTCTATTTCTTTCTTCCCATCCTGGGCCAATCCAGCATAAATAAATAAACAAACTAACTAACAAATAAGTCATTCTACCACACAGAATTCTCTCATACAAAAATCTCCCATTGTTCTGTTTAACTTTTCTTACCCGAAATATACGTCTTCTTCAGGACTGTCTTTTCTATTTGCTGGTTCCTTTCTACCTCGCTATATTTCCCTCTTTACCTTTATATGTTGTAAATAATCTAACTTTTAAACTTTCCAATGGAGACAAAATTAGTCTGCTTCTCACTAAAAGAACATGTCTTATGCCATTCATCCAGTTTGCCTAATCTCCCCCACCCCAAAAAATCACTTTGATTTTTCTTATGCCCTGTACAAGTGATGAGACAAAGCTTATGAAAACAAGTCGTCAACATTGAAATTTTCTCGTAGATCAATGTCGGCTATAAGTACATATATGATCACAGTGAATTGTTTAAAGTGGTCGTGCATATTGCATATGGTGAATCGTCCTTTGCATAGCATTGAACAAGCCCAGAGGACCCAAATTTACGTTTAGCTATTGATGTTTCAGAACTTTCACTTAACTTGGGCATTACTCAAATGCTCGGTGTCTCGCCTTTTAGAATTGGGTTTGATCCCCAGAGAGGGAAACAAAGGGAAGGGATGAAGATGAGAATGGAAATGGGGGAGAGAAGAAGTCAGCCTCCCTCGGACTTGGTCACATTATTATGTAATTTGACATAACTTTAAATTTCAACTTACACAGGTTTGGTGTGCTGGCACACTCCTTTAACCCCAGCACTCTAAGTTCCAAGCCAAAGATGCTAAAAAAAAATTTTTTTTCAACTTACCTGACAAGTTCATTTATAAACATCCCGTTTACAATTACCTAACTTCATTAAGTGTTATACCTAGATCACTTATGAAAAAAAAAAGAGGTATCAGACAAGCAGTCATCATTTGAAGTTACTTTTCTCTCCAAAACTTTAGGAAGTATGGTCATGCACACCTGTAACACTAACTCTGTAGGCAGATTTTTCTTTTGGCTGCCACCTCACAAATGATGACACAGAGACTTCTTATTAATTATGAATGCTTGGCCTATAGCTTAGGCTTGTTTCTAACTAGCTCTTATACCTTAAATTAATTCATTTATATTAATCTACATTCTACCATGTGGTGTTACTTCTCTTCCATCTTTTTTTCTTTTCTTTCTTTTTAGTTTAAATAACATTTTTCTTCATTTATTTTACATACCGACCACAGTGTCCCTGTCCTCCTCTCCTCCAAGTCCCCTTCTCCTTCTACTCTTCCCCGCCATCTCTTCTACTCCCCCCCCCATCTCCATTCAGAAAGGGGCAGGCCTCCCATAGGCTTGAGCAAAGCATGGCACATCAAGTCGGTCCTCTCTTCCATCTTGCACCTCCTGTTTCCTCTCTGTGTCTCCTGGCATCACCTCCCTTCTTCTTCCCAGAGTCCTCTCTGTCCCTGGAAGTCTAGCTAACCTCTTCCTAGCTATTGGCCGTTCAGCTTTTAATTACACCAATCACAGCAATACATTTTCACACAGTGTACAAATATCCCACAACACAGTTCTCAGGCCAAAGAAAGAGAATCTCAGATTCAGTGTCAGCCTGGACTACATAGTTGGACCCTGTCTCAAGAAAACAGAGAACATGAAATGCTCTACTGCATGGTCCTTTTAAAACAAAACATTATATGCAAAATGGAACGTATTAATGCAAAGTCCCTGGTCTGGGAGCAAGGGAGGCACCAAAGAGGACTGTCCTTTTAAGTAGGAAATTTCTTTGAAACTTTATCAATCCTGTGAATACACAGACAAGCAGACAGTAAAGTGTTGGATGCTCTGAAGGAGTTCAGTCTCATGTGGCAGAGTAGGAGTCCCTTCTTGCAGGTCTCAGAGAAAGGGGAGACTCACAACACCAGCCTGCAGCCAGGCTGTCCCTGATTCCCAGGTGGCAAAGAGAGGGCAAAGAGCAGGAAAACTGGGACTCTGAGAATGTGGGTGAGGTGAGGAGGGATGCACATCTGGAGGAAGGGTCGCTGTCTCTGCAGGTGGAGATGCACGCATCTTAGCTCCCTGACGGATGCCTTAGAGTCTGACAGCCTACAGTCTAAGAGCTTCCTTGGAGAAGTGAAAGGGGCTCCTGTCATTTGCCTGGAGTTCAGACACACTGGGAGGCCCTAGGTGACTTGTCTGCCTCTCTGTAGAAATCGAGGAGGACAGACAGAGGGCAGCATTTAGGCTTAACTGAGCAGTCTGGTCTGGGACTCTAACAATGGTTTGTTTTTAAGCTTTTATGAATAAACGCTTCCGAAATGTTTCGGAGGGGCAGGGGGAGGGGAAGCGGAGGAGAAGAGAAAAAGAGAGACCGGAGAGTACACTCTGCCTTGCACTCTCAACGGCACGTTTTCTTTTCGGAGACACTCGTGCTTGTGATCTTAAACCCCTAACAGACATGCCTGTAGCTCTCCCTGGCCCACCAACCAGGGGAAAGCTGACAATCCTGAGGACATTTCTTTCATTTTTGCCAATGAATTTCAAAACAATTCACTCGTCAGATTCGCTTAAAACATGGACCAAAGAGATTTGGGTTTGGTTTTTTTTTTTGTTTTGTTTTACAGAATTCTTTTTTTTTTTTTTAAATTATTTATTATGTACACAGAAGAGGGAGCCAGATCTCATTACAGATGGTTGTGAGCCACCATGTGGGTGCTGGGAATTGAACTCAGGACCTCTGGAAGAGCAGTCGGTGCTCTTAACCTCTGAGCCATCTCTCCAGCCCCTTTTTTTGTTTTTTTAATGTTACGCATTTTGGAGTTTTGCCTGCATGTGTGTCTGTGTACCACATGGGTGCAGTGCCCAAGGAGGGCAGAAGAAGGTGTCAGCCCCCCTGAAATGAGGGAGAGATGATTGTGAACTTCTCTGAAGCCATCTCTCCAGCCCCTTCATTACTGT